CTGCAGCCTGCAGTGAACAGATCCCACCAGCAGGTGGCGGTGATGCGACTAAATGATCCAAACTGCCCTCAGGACTTCCGGCGGAAGTAAGGACAGAAACAGCGCTAGCCTCCTAGCAGCGCTAGCTTCACTGTGGTGTTGATCCAAGTGGAAGATGGTTAGTTGTTCTGTTCCATGTGAATCTTTGAGTGGTTTCAGGAACAATGTCTTCAGTTCAGCATCTCAGAGAGTTTATCGGCGAGCGGCGAAGTTCAGAAAAACTACCCGGATGTAAAGAAACGATCGTCCAGAGTGAAGAAGACACAGATCGTCAGCACAGACTGCTGCACATCAGCTGGAAGCCTCCAACAACCTTCAACACAACAGGTATGAAGACTCACCTGAATGAACACATGAATCACTCACTGTTGCATTCGAGGCCGAGCAGGCCCTGAACGGATGCGTATCGCCCGCCGCTTTGATGTCGAAGGAAACCTGTGAATGTGAAGCTGAGTCCGAGTCGGTCCAGTAGTTCCAGTGTTTGTGTGTTTCGAAGCTTGTCCGTCCAGAACCCATCAGAACTTTCCCAGTTCTCTTCAGCCATTTCCTTCAAACTGGACTTAAAACAGACCCTGAGCAGGAACATCTCTGGAGATGAACTCAAGAAGGACAAAGATCTTTAGTCCTGCAGAACCAGAGGAGCTCAGACACTCAGAGGAATGTTTTGGACCAGGCTGCCTTTTAAATCTAGTCCCACATCAACACAGTCGGAGCCATCTCCATTCTGACGAGCAGGAAGGCAGAAATCTGAGGATGTGGAGTCTTTCCGTCATCATGCAGCTGAAACTAGTCTGGAACAGGAACCGCTGTGGGACTGGAGACACGCAGACAGACAGCTTGGCAGGATTCCTACAATCACCCTTGTGTTAAGATCCCATGTTCAAACTGTAGGAAATGAAAACTAGGAAGAACAATAAGAACGGTGTGTCAAATATCTGTCAGAACAAAGAGCAGCTACTGATGAAGTGTAGCTCCTCCGTCAGATTTGGCTGGTTTATTGACTACAGTCACAAAAATCAAAGCAGGAGCAGAAGTTAAACAGACTCAAAAAGACCAGAGTTTCAGGTTCTGTAGATTCTTTTTATTGTTTTTAATATTTATTGTGGTTTAAACTGTTGTATTTATCATCACATTAGTAACATTTTTCTGTTTTTTTTTTTTTGTCCTCCCAGACCAACAGCAACAAGTCCATAAAGAAGAGGAGGAACCAGAACCTCCACAGATTAAAGAGGAACAGGAGGAACTCTGCATCAGTCAAGAGGGAGAGCAGCTGGTTCTGAAGCAGCGGACTGGTACCTTCATAGAGACTTGTGAGGAAAGTGACCTCAGAGAACCAGAACCAAACAGCCACCAGCTCCTCGCTCACGTCTCTCCTGTAGCTGAGAGTCCAAATCTGAAAGAAAGCAACCAAGTGTGCAGGTCTTCTGGGTCCAACAGTCAGTTCAGAACTAAGTCTGCTACAGACTCTCCTGAATGTGACGTTTGTGGGAAAACCTTTAAAAACAATTACGAGTTGAAGCATCATCAACTAACCCACACTGGTCAAAAACCACATGTTTGTAAATTCTGTGGCACCACTTTCAGACTTAAGCACCATTTAAAGCGTCACCTGAGAACCCACACAGGTGAGAAGTCCTATCCTTGTGGAACATGTGGAAAATGTTTCAGTAAAAATTATAATTTAAAAATTCACATGAGAACCCACACAGGCCTGAAGCCATATGTTTGTGGAACATGTGGGAAATGTTTTACTCAGCAGCAGAATTTGACCCTTCACATGAGAACCCACACAGGTGAGATGCCACATATGTGTGAAACATGTGGAAAAAGATTTACTTATCATTATAGCCTGACCGCTCACATGAAAACCCATACGGGTGAGAAGCCTTATTTCTGTGAAACCTGCGGTAAATGTTTCAGCCAAAATTGTCATCTGGTCAAACACACAAGAACCCACACGGGTGAGAAGCCCTATTCTTGTGAAACATGTGGGAAAAGTTATAGTCATCGTTTTAGTTTGACTCTTCACATGAAAACCCACACAGGCCTGAAGTCATATGTTTGTGGAACATGTGGGAAATGTTTTACTCAGAGTCCAAATTTGACCCTTCACATGAGAACCCACACAGACCTGAAGCCACATTTGTGTGGAACATGTGGAAAAAGTTTCACTCTTAAACAACATTTAATCGGCCATTTGAAATCCCACACAGAGAGTAAACCTTATTGTTGTGAAGTATGTGGGAAATGTTTCAGGTTGAATTCTTATTTGAACAATCACAGGAGTGCCCACACAGGTGAGAAGCCCTTTTTTTGTGAAACGTGTGGGAAAAGTTTCCGTTTCCGTCAAAATTTAACCACCCACATGAGAACTCACACAGGTGAGAAGCCCTTTTTATGTGAAACATGTGGGAAAAGTTTCAGTCAAAATCATTCTTTGATGTACCATATGAGAACCCACCTGGATCAGAACATATTGCAGTAAAACATCTGTGACTCCAGTCTTGTTGATCCATGTAATGATCTGAACCAGACTGACACATGGAGCTTTGAAATGCTCCTGGTGAAGAGTCTGATCAGACCCACACCCCCAAACCTGTCAATGTTTAATTAGTTTGAGTAATAGTATAGGGAATAGTTGAAAAAATGGTATTACAATATTAATGAAATGCTTCTGTTCTATTTATTTATTTATTGTTGGTGAGAAACAGATTTTAAAATACATTACGTTATACCTGGACCTGTCATTCTGTGTTAATTTGTAATTGAAGATTCAACACAATGTGCTGCTTCCTTAGGTAACTTTTACTGACTGGCTTTTTATGTATGTGAATGTTCTTGTACAGTACCCTGAGACGACTTCTGTTGTGACGTGGAGCTATAGAAACAAGCTGGAACTGAATTGAAAAATGTAGTTTGGTTCTGAGAAGTACACCATGATAACTTCACAATCAGGAGTTTTATTTAACTCTGTCCTGTAATCAAATCATTTTATTAACCCACACAAAGTCTAATGGGGAAAAAATAGCCAAATATTATATTTGTATGTTTTTATTTATTTTGTGCTGTCAATAAACATCACTTTTTTTTCTGTCAAAGTATCTTTCTAATTTTTATGTTATCAGAATTTGTTTAAACGTTCTCATAACCTTTCATTACTGCCCTCTATGGATCCTTAGGGCCAAATTTACCACAAGGAAATCCCATTATAAATGCATTTTAAACATTAGAATGATCATATGAAATAATTATTTCCTTTAAATAATGTTTTTTTTATTTGACCTTTATCTCTATACTTCATATTTTCAGATCAGCTCACTTGGTGATGTTTTGGTTTTTACGTGCTGCTTTCTGTAAAATAAAAGACCGGGACAGACTTCAACTCACCCCAGTAGAAATCCGTCTTTCCCGGCTGGACTTTACTGTCGAGTTCAGCTTTTCATTTCATCCAACACAATAGTTTTAGTTTGGATGTAAAGAACAAAAACACTTGCATGTTGCACAAGTAAACATTTATTAGAAAAATCAGTTCCACATGGATGCAGGCTGCAGAATCAGACGCTCCAAGGCTCAGAACAGCTGACTCCCATTGAATGAAATCAGGACGTCAGTCGCCGAAGCACTAAGACGAAGCAGCTCACTATCTCAAATTCAATGCAAAAATACTTTATTAATCCCAGAGGGAAATTATTTGTTGTTGTAACTCGTTATCCTCATTTCATTAAGAGATGTTATAGATGCTGATGCTGTAGACAGGAAGGATCTCTTGTAAAGGTCCATCCCACAGTGGATTCTAAGAAACTGGCTGCAGATGCCGTCTGATCCGTCCATCCAGACTCGGCTGGCCTCTCGGTTCCCCTGGTCTATAGGACCACCGGAATGCAGAGCAGAACTCCTCCCAGAGCGATGGCCACTCCTCCCAGCAGTCTGCTGAGCTCCTCGTCGCTGTGGACAGACAACTGTAGGTGCTGAGGGACGATCCTGTCCTTCTGCTGTCATGAGCCGTGTTTCCTGCTAGTTCCAGGATCTCAGTGGTCAGGCACTCGAGCACAGCAGGCAGGTAGATGAGAATGTATCCACAGAACATCCTTTCAACTCATTTGAGATTTGGGGCTGTAGTTGAGATATTATTTGAGCTTTTGAGATGTTAATCAGCTGCTGTTGGTTGTAGAAAACTGCCTTGTTGCCATGGTTACGCATCATAACAAATGTCTAAAACTAAAAAAGTTTCAGTAAAAATCCTTCCAGCTGCACAGCATCTGATACCAGAGGAAACAATCATCCAAAAAATGTGATTTACATCCAGAAAAAGAGGAATTAAAGTTTCCAAAAGCAAAATCTCAGAATGAAACAGAGCTGCTCCAACATGCAGCCACCTGGAGCGGAGCAATAATAATCTGTGATAGAAAAATAATTTACTGTATATCCTGTTACTTTTTTTTTTTTTATATATTCTGTTCTTTTTTTCTACCATGTTAAACTTTATAAATCTACATGTGTTAGTAAGAAAAACACCAAGTCACAGTATTTTGTTTACTTTTCTGACTTTTCAACTACTTAAAGGAAACGTTCTTTTCAGCAGACGATCCAAACTGGAGGAGGAGATGAGGCGTCTCCCAGCTGGTTGGAATGAGGAGACAGTGGCTGCAGAGGGGGAGCACCTTCTTGGTGCTGGGATGTATACAATTATCTCGTAGTATCTAACAAAACAAAGTGGCGCTGAACACGAGTTTTAGAAACAACAAACAAAAAATGAAATCAGTCCTCCGTGTTGGACCAGCGAGCCACACGTAAGTTTTGCTGAAAACAAGGCGTCAAGAACTGCTGCCTGATCTGGAGGGGCTTCTCAAAACTTAGAACTGGAATTTTATATATATAAAAAAATAATAATAATACTTTTTAAACGTATTAATGAATATAAAGGATTTTTCTTTGTGTGAAATTTACCTTAGAATAAATACTTTAGTGTCCATTTAAAATGTGTTTTTTTTATTTATCTAAAGGCCTTGAAAGAATTCAAATTCAATAAAAAGCATTTAGTTTCAATAATTTAATTTAGCTCTTAAGACAGAATAACTCACAGTAAAAAATAAAAGAAAATTTAAGTAGTTGTGTTTGGTGGCCAATTTTTCCCAGAAAGAACGCTTAGTGTCATAAACTCAAAAGAACTTTTGAGAATTACTCGAATCAACCTGTTAATATTATTTCTAACAAATTATTTATTTATAGTTAGTGTCTCCAGTAAGTGGATCAGAACTCCAGGTGATGGAGTCAGAACCTCCACCTAAAAGCTGAGTGAAGCTGATCAGACAGTAGAGGACAGCGTTGCTCCACCCGTGAGAACAAATCAGTGTTTGAAGGTGAACAAGCTGTTTCTGTTCTTCATCATGTCTTTGCTTTAGAATCCGTCACAGTTCAGTCTTTGTGTTGGACACAAGCAGTGGACCTGTCTTTGTTTCACATCAACTGGAAACTTAAAACCAGCTCTGGACTCTGCTGATGATCTTCAGGAACAATGAACCGTCCACCAGCTGAACACCAGCTGAATGCTCATTTCAGCCTTGGACCCTCAGCTGGATGGTGAGAAGATGTAGGCACGAGTTTTGAAGCCAGATGATCCATAGCTGCTTCCTGTGTTGTCTTAGCATGTGTATACAACACAGTGTCATCTGCAAACAGCTGAACTTTAACACAAACATTTTGTAAATCATTAACATAAAGACTAAAATAATAGGCCCCAATACAGAGCCTTGGGGGACCCAAACTTGAACAGATAAGACGTGATGAAGTTAAATCACCAATCTGTAGTTTGTATTCTGTCAGATCTGATCCAGCAGGGGGCGCTGTTTGAACTGTTCAAACAAGAGAGCTCTGATACCAGCTGAGCTGTCAATCAGCAGCAGCAGGGGCTGATGGGAGTTTTGAGGAGCTCTTAGAAACCACGTGGTCCTTGTCTGATCTCACAGCTCGTCCTCGTTTGTCCTCAGCTGCATCAGAGCGCCACTTCTGCCCCGGTGCACCAGAGGATAGACCCGTGAACACGATGCTGATCCTCCCAGCTGCTGCTCTGTGCTGTCTGTGTTCAGGTGAGTGTTTCAGCCAATCAGGAGCCACAAAGTCCACCTGGAACCAACACGTCACACTGACCTTCACCTGTCTGTGTCTCTGCAGCGCTGGTTGCCATGGCAGCAGAGCTGGTTCAGGACATGACACTGACCAGGAGAGTTGGACAAAGTGTCTCCTTCAGTTGTGGACGGACTGATCAGTGTGGCTCAGATTTTGTTTCCTGGTACCAGAAGAAAGAAACGGAAACATTTAAATATATTCTTTATATTGATAGAAGTGATTCTAGCGTATATAAAGATTATTCAACTCATCCTCTGAAAGATGATTTCTCAGCTGAGACAACACCAAACGGCTGTGACTTGAAGATAAATCAAGTTAAACTCGATCATTCAGCCTCCTACTACTGTGGTTGTTGGACCGGTCCCCACAGTGAGAAAATCTTCCTGCAGGCTGAACAAAAAGCTGCAGATGAACAGAAGTCAGATTTTGTGAGAGGAAGAGAAGAAACCACAGCCCAGATCACAGATTTCACCTCCAGCCCCCCCCCCCCCCCCCCACACACACACACTTTAATTCACATTGTGTATCAAAGGTGGACTGGTGAGGAAAGCTGGTTCTGTGCTGGGAACAGAGCTGGAGTCCATTACATCGGTGGCAGAGAAGAGTCGTCAGGAAGCTGCTGTCCATCGTGGACGACGCTGACCATCCTGTGCACGGTGCCATCATGAAGCAGAGGAGCTCCTTCAGTGTAGACTGCTGTCCCAGTCCTGCTCCATGGACAGATTCAGGAAGTCCTCTGTCCCTCAGAACATCAGACTGTTCAACTCCTCTCGTACAGTAAAAACAGAGCCCTGTCAATGTGCAGCACCTGGACACTGATCTATGTGTATCTATCTACCGTACTTTTCGCTGTAGAAGTCGCACCTTTTTACATAAATTAGCGACTTATACAGTGAAGCAACGTATTTGTTTTTTCCCAAATTTATAAACCAATTTTTGTCTGAGATCTGATGATTTCATTCATTCTGACATGTAAAATATTGAACACTACTATTTTCAGCCACTAGAGGGCTCTTGGCTGTGGCAAGCCAAGTGTCTCATTAATGGGTAAAAGTGGCTATTAATGACTCACTTGGCTTGCCATACAGGCACCGTCGTCTCGCTCTGGAACTCCTGGAGCAAACGTCAAATCAGCTGCATGTCGCCGCCCAAGTGCCATGCAGCTGATTTGACCATTAAAGTGCATTTATTAAGGAAAAGATCAACTGAGACACACCTTTACTATAATGTCGAGCAAACAAATAATTGTTTTTAAGTGTAAGTCTAGGTAAATTCTTGTTAAAGTCCTCCTGTGTACGCTCCCGCGACATTTGGCAGCCAATTGATTTTTGGTACACCAGCCCACATTTCTGGTGACGCATAATAGATGTGACATGTACGATCTTTCTGTCTGTCTTTCTGTCTGTCTGTCTGTCTGTCTGTCTGTCTGTCTGTCTGTCTGTCTGTCTGTCTGTCCTACCTACTCACTGTGATTCTTGACTTGCCATTGTGTATCTGTTCCTACCAAACCCAGCTGGTCAATGGTGTCAAAGGCGTCTGTGAGGTCCAACAGGACAAGCAGCACAGGTTCACCAGTATCTGTGAATCTGAAGATGTCGTTAAAGACCTTCAGCAGGGCAGTTTCAGTGCTGTGGAGAGGTTTAAAGCCAGATTGGAAAAGCTCTAAGATGGCGTGATCCTCCAGGAAGCACTTCAACTGGGACTCGACTATTTTCTCCAGTACTTTAGTAACAAATGGGAGTTTGGAGACAAGCTGGAAGTTGGAAACGACTGAGGGGTCAAGGTTTGGTTTTTTCAGGAGATAATAGATGTGTACGATCCGTCCGTCCGTCCGTCCTACTTACTTACTCTGATTCTTGACCTGCTTGAACACATCTTCATCACTCAACGTCTCAACGTGTGTACATAATTTCGCTCCACCACATGTACCACATGAGGTGCGAATGACAATAAAGAAACTCTGACTCTGACTCACTAAACTTCATCACTTTCAACATCCAAACACTTCTTCAGTTTTATTAGGACCAGATGAAAACCTTGGGACCTTCAAGACCAGCAGAAGGTTCTGACAAGTTCCTGTTCCCAGACTCAGCTCTCTCTGCTTCATGACACCTTCAGCGTTGAGGAAACCACAGAGCAGCTGCAGCTCACAGACTGGACAGACTGAAGACTTTCAGCAAGACAACGTCCAACAAGAGGACACACATCCTGAGCTACATGTCCGCTCAAAGACAAACTTCCCTCAGAGCACCGTTCTTCTTTCTCTGTCCATGGTCCAGAAAACTCTTCAAGCTTGTGCAAACAGAAGCGTTCAGCTTGGATCGTCTGACCAGGAGCTCGTATTAAAGGACGGTTGGACCCTGACTGGAACCGTTTGACCTCATCTTCATGTGAAGACTCAGAGGATCAGCGAAGTCCTGGTGGTTCCTCCTCAGGGGAACATCTGAAGCACTTTCAACCAGAATCCATCTGAGTTGAGAGATTTCAGTTGAACACACGAATGTTCAGCTGCTGGAGACCAAAGAGAACAAGTCTCTTCATCAGCTTCATCCTCCGGGGACCAGGACCGGCTCAGAACATCTCAGGAGTTCTTCAATGTTTTTATCTTCTAATTCATTTTGTTCTCTCATTACTGTAATTACAAGTTTCATATTTAATGTTTATCATTCTGTGGTTCATGTTGCTGCTAAAGGAACACATGAAGCCTTAAAGAAGAACTGAACTCAGGTTTTTGTAGCAGACTGTCTCACAGTGTGGAGCCTGGACCTTTGGTTCTGGAACTAAACTTTATGTTTCAGGTAAGAAGAAACATTTCTTCTCCTTCAGCTGTTTGACTGTAGAACTTCAAATGTGTTTAAAGTCACTTTCTGCTGTTTCGCTCTTTACATGTTGGTTTTTTATCAGCACCACAGGATTCTTCCTGCAGCTGCTCCAACAACAAAACATCAATAAATTAATAAAACGTCTTATGAATTTAATCTTTTATACACATCTCTGTGAAGCTGCTAAAGTAGATTTATTATTTTTACTTTGATCAAATATGTCCATTTTTAACAAAGTTATGTTTTTATTGCTAAAAGTGAATTATCTCATTTTTCAACTTTATGTTTTTTTTATCATTTAAACCTGAACATTAAAAAATAAACATTAACATAATATATACATACATATATAAACATAAACATTTAAATAAACATTTAAATAAACATTTAAATACAAAATCAGCTGAAAAGATAAAATAATAAAAAAGTTGTACAAATAAAAACACCAACAGTTCCAGTTTGAGGTTGTTGAGATGAAACGTAACGTTTTTAAAGACTAAATGTTCGGTGTTGGTTTGTGTCTCTGTTGCAGCTGAAAACAGGCGAAACGCACAAAACTTATATTTTAACATTCAAGTCAATTATTTAATTAATAAAAATCTATAGATTTTGTGAAAAACTCTTCACTTTGTGTTCTATTTAGTTTTTTATTAAAATAAAGTTGTTGTTTTTTTATACAACAAATGTTCCCAACTTAAAGTTCAGTCAGGTCCTCTGGACCGATTGAAACAATAAAAAATAAAATAAAATAAAATAAAAAAATGTTGAAATTTTTCATCTTTCATCCAAATGACTTCATCAGTCCGAGGATCCACAACAAACTCAGTCCCATAATCAGCTGTTCCCAACATTTTAATGTTGCCAAAATCTTATTTTATAAAATGTGCAAAAGTTTTGATATGAAAATATATTTTTGTTCATTTAGTTTCAGATTGTATTAAATTATTTTTAAACACAAGAAGATCACAAAACTCTGTAGACTTAACAAAATAAAAAATAAAATAATTTCTCCTGAGTCCCTGCCGGTGTGAGCTGTGAGGTGGATCCAGTGGATCTA